AGAGAGAGAGAGACACACAGAAAGAGAGAGAGAGAGAGACACACAGAAACAGAGAGAGAGAGACACACACACAGAGACATATAGAGCGCGAGACACACACAGAAACAGAGAGAGAGCGAGACACACACACAGAAACAGAGAGAGAGCGAGACACACACACAGAAACAGAGAGACACACACACACACAGAAACAGAGAGAGAGAGACACACACACACATAGAACCAGAGACACACACACACAGAAACAGAGAGAGAGACAGAGACAGAGAAAGAGAGACAGAGAGAGAGAGAGCGAGAGAGAGACACAGAGAAAAAAAGAAACAGAGAGAGAAAGAGACACACACGGAGACAGAGAAAGAGACGGGGGAGAGAGAGACAGACGGGGGAGAGAGAGACAGAGAGAGGAGAGACAGAGAGAGATGGAGAGAGGAGAGACAGAGAGAGAGAGAGAGGAGAGAGAGACAGAAAGTGAAAGAGATAAAAATGGAGAGAGTGAGGGAGAGGTTTACATACTAAACTCTGGCTGACACAAACCCATCACTTGCTGCTGTTAAAAAGCCTGATTGACCACCTCACCCCCTTCAGCCTGGGAGTGCTCACATGCGCGTGCCTGGGCTGTGCAGATTTGAAGGATTAGATACCATTGCATAAACATGAGATAAGATCTGTATCAGTAGAAAAGGAACAGAAGTAAGGTGCAAACGGAAACGAGAGAGAGAGCGAGAGGGAGAGCGAGAGAGAGAGAGAGAGAGATTACAACTTCTCCATTTTTGCCGAGCTGTGTTAATGGCATTGATGAAGCTAAGCAGACCTTAAACACATCACCGTATGTTCCGCTTCCAATTCGCTGGATTAGTTCAAACTCATCCATGGGATTCTTGTCGGAGATGACCAGCTCCATCTCAGGGACATCGTAAAATACACTGTTCATCATTTGCAGAATAATCTGTGCCCAGGGAGCCTCTTGCCTCCTCCCCCAGATCTCTCTCTCGCTGACTCTCTCTCTCAGAGTGTCTTCCACTCCATGTACCAGCTCCGCCAGAAAGAACTGCAGGGCTCCCTGTCACTCGAACATCGTGCCTGCAATATCTCAGCTCTTAGAGATGCACTGTTCCTGTTCCTGTCCTGCGCAGCTGCATACCCAGTGACAAAGTCCCCTCTCTCTCTCTCTGTCAAAGTGTGACACCTCCAGGCTGAACCCAGTCCCACCAGCAGCTGCTTCTCAAACTGCTTCCTTCCCCAGCTCTCGCTGTGCTGGGATTGCAAAGTGGGTCGTCCCTCACATCCCCACCCAGGACCCACATCATCTCACGCCAACCCTCTGTTAGCAGCAGCTAACAGGCGCACAGAGGTAGCAACTAGCAGAGCCCTGCGAGGTGCTGCATTATGGCAAGATAAACCAAGGCAGGACTTACACAGTTCGCGCGCGCGCACACACACTACACACACACAAATTGCTGGAAAAACTCAGTAGGTCTGGCATGCATCTGAGGAGAGAAATCAGATTAACATTTCGGGTCCAATGACCCTTCCCGAGAATAGTTCCCAGAACTGGGCCCGAAACATTAACTCCAATTTCTCTTCACAGATGCTGCCAGGCCTGCTGTGCTTTGCCAGTAATTTTTGTTTTTGTTTCCAATTTCCAATACCTGCAGCTCTCTCGGTTTTTACTTTTACAGTTAATGGTAGGGCCCTTAGAGAGTGCTGTCAAACACAGGCACCTTGGGGTGCGCAGGTTCATAGTTCGTTGAAAGTGGAGTTGCAGGTAGACAGGGCGG